CACATCACTAAACCCTTCTCTAATGTTTGCCCACTTACCTGTGTTTAGAAGATCTAGCTATACTACTTGTTCTAGCTGTACTAGTTAGGGTTAATCTCTTACGTCTCTACTGAAGTGCAAAAACAACTAGTGCCATACTGCTTTGATCATTAAAACTGCATTTATAATGGTTACCGTTTTGTCATAAATTGTAAAATGTATTAATATTCTACGAAAACGGTTATTTTCCTGTTTCTTAGACATACTATACAATAAAATTTGATTCAGATTTTCTCACTGGGGACATGCACTGACAGGTTGTAAAACTGCAGAAATGTAAATTAAATCATAAAGTTTCTAACTGTTGGGTGTTTTGTAATGTGTTCCTCGAATGTTACTGGCATCGTACCTCTGTATCCTTTAAAGTCCCAGAGAAAAATATTTATTCATTATTGTTTCTTTATTATCCATTATTTTCCCCCCTCTTTACACCATTTCAGGAAATCCATAATTCTAGTTTCCAAACTCCTAATACCAGTCATCCAATCACATACTGGATCTTTATCCATCAACACGAGTGAGCTCAATATTTTTACAACCACATTCTGAATTATATAAAGGAGAGAATCCCTAATCACTGTTTATTTATTTATTTATTTATTTTCAAAATTAATCCTAAATTGTAAAAATGTTGATTGAACATTTAAAAGTTATACAGTGAAAGACAGAACACATTTAAAACATGTATTTATTTTTTTTTTTTAAGGGAGGTTTCTACTTAAGGTTTCTATTATCTTGCATAAAACTACATCAGTTTAGAATATATTAAGTATGTGTGTATTATTGATATTTGGAAGGGGAGTTCTTGGCACCTAGAAAGATGTTCATTGTTTGAACTCTATGGTGCAGTTTCTCCTGCAATAGCGCCTCCATTGGTAAAATCCTGGCACACATCACTAAACCCTTCTCTAATGTTTGCCCACTTACCTGTGTTTAGAAGATCTAGCTATACTACTTGTTCTAGCTGTACTAGTTAGGGTTAATCTCTTACGTCTCTACAGAAGTGCAAAAACAACTAGTGCCATACTGCTTTGATCATTAAAACTGCATTTATAATGGTTACCGTTTTGTCATAAATTGTAAAATGTATTAATATTCTACGAAAACGGTTATTTTCCTGTTTCTTAGACATACTATACAATAAAATTTGATTCAGATTTTCTCACTGGGGACATGCACTGACAGGTTGTAAAACTGCAGAAATGTAAATTAAATCATAAAGTTTCTAACTGTTGGGTGTTTTGTAATGTGTTCCTCGAATGTTACTGGCATCGTACCTCTGTATCCTTTAAAGTCCCAGAGAAAAATATTTATTCATTATTGTTTCTTTATTATCCATTATTTTCCCCCCTCTTTACACCATTTCAGGAAATCCATAATTCTAGTTTCCAAACTCCTAATACCAGTCATCCAATCACATACTGGATCTTTATCCATCAACACGAGTGAGCTCAATATTTTTACAACCACATTCTGAATTATATAAAGGAGAGAATCCCTAATCACTGTTTATTTATTTATTTATTTATTTATTTATTTATTTTCAAAATTAATCCTAAATTGTAAAAATGTTGATTGAACATTTAAACCTATACTACTTGTTCTAGCTGTACTAGTTAGGGTTAATCTCTTACGTCTCTACAGAAGTGCAAAAACAACTAGTGCCATACTGCTTTGATCATTAAAACTGCATTTATAATGGTTACCGTTTTGTCATAAATTGTAAAATGTATTAATATTCTACGAAAACGGTTATTTTCCTGTTTCTTAGACATACTATACAATAAAATTTGATTCAGATTTTCTCACTGGGGACATGCACTGACAGGTTGTAAAACTGCAGAAATGTAAATTAAATCATAAAGTTTCTAACTGTTGGGTGTTTTGTAATGTGTTCCTCGAATGTTACTGGCATCGTACCTCTGTATCCTTTAAAGTCCCAGAGAAAAATATTTATTCATTATTGTTTCTTTATTATCCATTATTTTCCCCCCTCTTTACACCATTTCAGGAAATCCATAATTCTAGTTTCCAAACTCCTAATACCAGTCATCCAATCACATACTGGATCTTTATCCATCAACACGAGTGAGCTCAATATTTTTACAACCACATTCTGAATTATATAAAGGAGAGAATCCCTAATCACTGTTTATTTATTTATTTATTTATTTATTTATTTATTTTCAAAATTAATCCTAAATTGTAAAAATGTTGATTGAACATTTAAACGTTATTATTAAAACAGATCTTCTATCATAATGAATAGTGATTTTCTCAACATTAAACCGATTATTGTTATTTGTTGTACGTGTAAAACAAAAAGACTAATTATTCAAACATTCATTGTCATCTCTTCACATTCATTCGTGTTTTTAGCAAGTCATTTCTTGCTAGAGTGATATAAAAATACATGATCAGTAAGTTAGGCCTTAAATATCACGGGAAGCCTATACAGATTAGGGCAGCCATTCACTAAAGCATAAAATAGATACAAATTTGCGATAAGAGCGTATTGGTATTTGCTTACAATAGTCAATTAATCATGTTGTTACTAAACTCACACATTGCCAAGATGAATACCAAAATACAAGACAAAAGAAAACAGAGTATTTACTAACATAATCTTGATTTACAAAATAACGTCAAGTGCTTTAGTAGATGCGTCAGTTTTGTTTTGACTGGAGTAATGCTATAGAATAAATAATAACTCGCATGTCTCAAAATGTCCCAATTTGAAGTTAAAAACCAATCACTGAAGGATCTGCGCATGTGTCTTTTTCAGGTACTGAGTAACATGTCTCAGTGTGCCTCTGAATTCTTCCCATAGGGCAGACAAGGCTGTTCCTCTCCTTCAGAGAGTGAGATATGGTCAGGCTATCACAACAGCACATGTGGCTTTGCACGGAGGGACTGCTGGAGGGAGTGTGTGTTTAAGCCTCACCGTGACCTGATCTGAATGCCACACTCTGATCTTCCTTTGATGTCAGTCTGTTGAAAGTCTGGCAGAATCAGGCGTTTAGACACACATACTTAAGCATGCATACTTGCAATCTTACATGTGCTTGTTTATTTTAGAGTATTAAATGTGAAAAAAAATAATAAGCCCAGGCCTAGCTGAGCATCAAAGGTTGTTTGGGGTGTGTTTAAGAGCATCACTTCTGGCTGCAGAATGAAGCGATGCTTTGCACGAAAAGATTGATACATTTCTCACCTCAGCCTCACCTCAGTGTCCCATGCTACTTTTCCTTTCCTTTTTTTTCTCTCTAAACAACCAATTTATTTTGATAAGCAGTGAGATGAAAGATACTTTGCTATATTGTGACCTGACTGCTTATTGCTTTTCTAAAAGGATTACTACATATACAAATATTGCATACGCATTTTTTATTAAAACACAATTTTATTACGCTAATTTCCTAAGTGAATTACTTCCACTAAAATATATAGTCCCTATGCGCTATAGACAGTGTGCAGTGCTATGATAAACAAGTCAAAGCTGTGACTAAAATGTTTTATTTACCAATCAGGGCCAAAACTATTTGTTTATTCATTTTAATTTGCTATTGATTGATTGATTGCAAGTTGAGTTGCATTCTAAACATTCTTTTTAGGCTATGAAATATTTCTGATTACCATCACTGGGATTATCATTATTATTATTATTATTATTATTATTATCACTACTTACCTGTAGCCTATGAACTCTTGACCACATTCCAAAAAGTCAAATGTCTACAATGCCTAAGAACAATGTTTTAATGCTACATAATACAAGTATTTTTTTATTTTATTTTATTTTGTTGCTTAATGGCATAATTTGCATCGATGAAGCAGGTGTGCGTGTGGACTGAGCTTTGCGGACCGCTACTAATATACCAGCGCCATCTTGCGTCGACTTGAGGTTCTGAAGCTGTAAAAAAGGATCATATTCTGCTTCTGTCCTGCTGCTTCTCACTGAAAATACCAGGGCGTGAATCAAGAACAGCGTTGTTTTTCAAAATGAACGTTTAATCGCATCCATACACCTACTGCAAGACCAAAAAACTTAGAATGAAAGTTGCTTTATTTTGTAATGACCACCAATGTCTATAATGCTAATGTCAAAATGCAGATAGAAAATAAATTAATAGCTAAACTGTTAGAAATAAAGGTTCTGACGTTACTCGGTAAGCGTTTCTTTGTTCAACAAACACACATTTAGAACCCGAGGTGTGACTGCCATTTCAAGACTATATTCAACAGAAAATGATTCTCCGTTGAAGAGGGTTCTTTGAGTTGGAAAAACCATTGAAGAACCTCTTTGTAGACAATAAACAGCGGGTATGATGAGTTTGATTATTTTGCTGTTTTTTTTTGCAGTCCTTCTGCAGATTTGAGTCACAGAGGAGCTGTCCAGGTGCTGAAACACATTCAATATGACAGAATCTAGCGATCAGTAGCCTATCACTCCTATACAGTCGATGCATTCCTTCTTGCCAAAAGTGTTTAGGTCAAATAATGCTTACGGAAATCTTATCACCTTGATGAAAAAAAAATTACAACATAAAGGCACTGCATGCATGAGCTAAGAATGTGCGTGTGAATTCGCTTGAGTGTATTGCATTCATTGAACGCTTGCTGCCACCATGTGGAGTTCTCCTACAACACCGATCTGAACAGCATTCCCATTCGTGTCCAACATCCAGCACTAAAACTTCTCAGACAAGAGCTTCTCTTCTCAAGGTTAAGAAGATCACTTGCGCATACACATAAAGGCTAATAACCCTTCAAAGCTCGATGAGTCTCTCGCTTATAGATATTTATGAATAACCTGCTCAAGAACAGGTGCTTGATAAAACGCAAGAACTCTACAAGCAGTGTTGTCCTTGATGTCTGAAGGTCAGAATGACCCAGACTCCTCTCCGGAGCAGCATGTAATGTGTTGTGTTGTGCTGTGCGTTGCTGTGGTGTGGTGTGTGGCTGCTGTGTCAAACTTGGAAAGTGTTTGTTCGAGACTTGCGTTCTCGTTTAAGGCACAAAGTCCTGCGGGAAGGTGCCAGAGCTGTCGTAATAACGCTCGTGCTGATGCTTCTGTAGAAGTGAGATGTGATTCAGAGCCAGTCTGATGTTGTGGACAGGTCCGAGGATTACTAGCCGCGCGTCACGCGCATGCAGTGTCGAATAAATAGGCGATTTGCGCTTTGAGTAGCAGCAAATAAAACGGAAAGGTCATCGTGATCCATCAATGAGATTTTTTTAGATATATATATATTTGTGAGCTGATTTTGGAGGAGTGAGGGCGCATCTGACGTCGAGGAAATTTAGTTGCGTGGAGATTTTGGGTACTGTTGCATCCTCTCGTTTCTTTTACAAGGTAAGCGGCTTCCTGGACTTTATTTTTAATGTTTTTGTTGATCGTCTAAAGTAAAACTGTAATTATTAATCTAACAGGTGCTTCACAACAGACAGGTTTTCAGTGCAGCATGCGCTTTTGTGCTGTAGGTTGTTTATTCTGTAAAACTATGGATTTTATGTCATCTGAAAAAACAAATGCCTATTTAAATCTAACAATGCAAATTTATATTGCATATAGATATAGCTTAGTATCAGGTTTCTGTTAACTGAATTGAGAAATCAATATGCACCATTTCTTAATCAATGTTAACATGTGTAGGCTATATTAATCAAGACAATATGTGATTCCTATTGGCATGATGATGAGCACCAAATCCATTTCTGTGAAATAATCTTTTAGAGCACCCTTAGTGTTATTTTAATGCAGAGGTCTTCAAATCATTTGACATTTTGATCCAGTAGCATTTTCAGTGAGAAAAAAAGCTAAATGGTCTTGGGTTTGTCGTGGAATGTTTCATATATTCGGCTTATTTGAAGAAGTAAGTCTACAAGAAATCATTTTAAGGCTCGGCAACCTGTGTGCGTAGACTGGTTTCTAGAAGGTCCTTTAATTATAATAATAGTTTGATTTTAAACACAGCCACTTAAATAATCCTTTATGTTGAAATGGTTCTTTGTTAAGGTTCTGTAGTTCTTTAGAAATAAAAAAAAAAAAGTTCTGTTTCCAGAGGAGCTTGTAACCCAAAGAACCTAAAGTATTTGATTTTTTAAAGAAAAGAGTGGCACATATAGGCTATATGAGACTATCTAATGCATTAACATATTCGACCTAATTATTGTTTTAATTTATGATATGAAAAATCTGTTTCAATTAATGCTAGATATGGACGTTAAATGATGCAGAACTTCCCCTCTTATCTCCCCTCCAGTCAGCTTGACTTGTTTTGTCTGCTAAAACAGGAGCAGTTTCTCTGAGAGTGACAGCGCTCTTTGGGTTGAGGACTTAAACACTGGGGCTGATGGCGGCTTCCTCCTCCTCCTCTTCCTCCTCCTCTTCTGGCGGCGATCCGGATCCCAACTCGACAAATTTACGGCCACCCTCCTCAAGTAGGTCCATCACCGATAAACCGCTATTTCACTCCGGCTATTTGTTTTGTGGCCAACGCCATTAATCTTGTCGGTGAGACGGGAAAACGGCGCTATTCGCAACGCGTCACGAGCAACAAATCGCCGCAGCGGACCTCCCGCGCCAGCCAGACCAATGTCGCTGTCAACATAGGTGATGGCCTTTAAACACACCTGCACACAGGCAATCAGTCAAGACAGACGAGCAGCCAACTCTGATCCGTCATTGTTCATTTTAAATACATTTTTGCCTTGCTAGATGTACTAACAGGTCATCTGCAACCCACTATTGTTTAAAATGTAGGCTAGCTATCATTAAAATTAGGCTAGCCTATATATACTTTTTGTAATTGAAAATTAGCTATCATTATTATTAACATTAGCTATTATTCAAATGTATTATTAAGATGTTATTATTATATTGCAGGACAGTTTTATAGCTTCAGTATTGTAGCCGACTTCTATATATTTTTGTCATCTCGGTCTAAAAGGTAAAAACGGGAACGAGTCTGTCTGTAGAAGTGTGTAATTATATGAAGTGTATCTATAATTGTAGGCACTCTAACCCGGTAGTAATGGCCCGCTGTTTCTCTGTGATGGAAGAGGCAAACAGCTCTGTTTATTAATTTCATTATGAACAGAAACATGCTCTTCAAAAATTAGCCACGGCATATTGTGACTATGTCTGTAGCTGCGGGGTACATTTGCTCACATTCATCCTGGGCTCTGTTTTTTGGGGGGGCTCTACAATCAGCAATTGTAGATTTAATTTCTCACATTTCTATTTTTATAGCCTATTGATTTTTTTTTTTTTTTTTTAGAATTTTCAAAGGCATAAAATCATCGCTATGTATTGCATTCTTGAAGTGTCCTATATGCAGTCTTTTCAAAACAAGATGCCATTAAATTCGTCATGTAGGCCCCTATATAAAATGTGAAATCTAAATTTAGAAATAAAAAATGGCATCAGATTTCAAAATTCACTTTATGTTTTCGTGCCACATTTATCTGCCAAGCATGCCAGTTATTTACATCACAGTCTAATACAAGTAAATCAGGATCGCAGTTGAAATAGAAAACGATGTAATGCACCTGAGATGAATAGAGGAGAAGGCATTTGGAGAAGAATGGCTCGGGATTGCTGGGAGAGATAATGAGCTGCTGGTAAACGGTGCTGAACTCATAATAGCGCTGCTGAGGATTTGGGCCGCAGGGGCGGCAGCTCCACATCCACCTCTTGTCCTGATTTGGCCCGCATTAATGCTGAATTCTGTTCAGCTGCCTGCCACATTAATTTCATATTAGGAGCATGGTGCATTTACCGCTTGGGTGCATTTAGAAAGAGGGCTTCAATTGTGCTTTGTGGATAGGCGGGAATCATAATTATCGCTCTATTTGCCAGATTACTTAGAGATTTCGCCGTTTTCTCCCCGTAGACTATGACTGGAGTGGAGTCGCTCATGGATGCACGAGGAAACTTGGAATGAAGATATGCGGTAAGTTGGAAAAAAAAAAATAATAAATTGGCTAAATATAAACAATTCTGTGAATAAGAAGGACGTGTTTCATGGTTTGCAGGCCTGAAATAGCTTCTACGCCAACTATTTTGAAAAACCACCTGGCACTGTGGTGCATGATATGTCTGTATTAATTGCTTTCTAACGAGCAGATGTGTCTCATAGCGCCCCCTTTTGGTGGTTTCTGCTGGTCACCTAAATGACAGTCAACAGCACCAGCAATTACCTCATTATGTACCGATGAATGGAGGAGAAGACTGAAAATGCGTTTCTTTTTTTAAAGAAAAATGTAAAGGGGTGAGTATATAGCCTATTGGACTTCACTGAAAGACTGGAGATGCACTGCAGTAGCCTAAATAGACTACAGAAAGAAAACGAAAAGCAGAACAGCCTACAGAATTTGCTAAATGTTGCTTTGCTTAACCACGTAGGCTAATTTAAAAAGAAAATCCCTTCGGTGCGGTTATTAAAGATAAAGCTTTACGATTGTTTTTGTCCGGCATATAGTTACAATCGAGTTAAGAGGTGAGCAGATGAATCTAGATTGTGTCCCGAGAGAATTGATGCTCAGTGGAGATCTATTAAACCACAATCCGTCAAGCCTCTGTTTTGCCGAGATAACACCAACCCTTTACATAATGCTTACTGATAAGAGGTGATTTCAAAAGAAATGGTCTTTCATTAATTAGTCGTGCTAAATCGGTTTATGGTTGTTTCATTAGATCAATATAAAGGTTCGAATATAAATAAGATTGCCTATAAAATGACAATGTGGGTTACGGAGTATATATATATATATATTATTAGCTATAATATATCCTATTAGGTTCATTTGGCATAGGCTACTTGATATGTGGCGCTGCCGTGGTAGAGCCATGCACCGCCTGAATGATCCCATATCAGCTGAGGAAGATGAGGATGAGGACAACGAGGAAGCTGCAGAAGACACAATATAATAATCTGCAGTGGCGTTCATATGCGGATGGAAAGCGCCTGCTGCTGCCTCGATGCACAGTTTTTTTGTGCATGCTGTAATAATTCCTCTGTAGCCTAGCAGTGTGATGTCAATTCTGCACTCAGGTATCTTTTGTTGTTTGTTGTTGTTGTTGTTTTTAAACGAAGACACCCTGAAAAGCTACTAAATTAAAGTAAAACAATTTTTGATTTGATTTATTTTTATTATTCATTATTTTACATGTAGGCTAACTAGCATTAATAAACTGCGGTATGGTCCCTAACATGATCTGCTCAGTGGTGTCGAGGGTTCATTTACAGTCCATCTAAATCACTGTTACCTCCCCCAGATCACCTGTGCTGTGCCAGAAACACACATGAGCCGGACACTGCGCCGAAGAGACGTTTAAAGCCATTGCATCTGTGTTAAAGTACTTGCTGCAATGTTTGGAAAAAACGGAGGCAGCTCATTTCAGTCTTCTTCTCTGTCTAATAATACAGGATTTTTGCAGAAGAACGATAGTGTCGACGACAAGAGTCGAATTGTCGGGTTTTTTAACGAACAGCAGCCCAGGAGCATTTTAACACGAGACCCTCGCTTCAGACGCACAGAGACGGACTTCTCCAATCTATACGCAAGAGGTGAGTGACAATAATCCCGATCATCAGCCTCATACTCGAAGATTAAGTGTCCGTTTTCTGTGTGAGTTTGCCTTTTACTAAAATAACTTATTTTATAAAATGTTATATTATAAAAATATACTTATAATTTATAATATAATTTGCAATGGGATTCTTTATATTTTATGTACATATTTCTTCTGATATGCAGTTAATTATGCTTTAGAATGAATAAAAAGGCTAAAAAAAAAGGTTTTGAATTTTGATGTTAAAACAAATGATTGGTCTATACATGTGTTTGCCTGCAAATAGTTTGTCAGTGTTGTCAAACAAAAAAAATATATATATATATATTAAGGTGATTTACATTTATGTAAATGATTTATGACATTTATGTAGCATTATTTTTAGTTTAAGTACAGTATTCGGCTTTCCACTCATACAAAAAAAAAACAGTTTGAATTATTATGATTTTTAACTGTTTTTGAAGGAAGTCTCTTAGGAGACAATGAAAAAAATTATGAAATATTATTACAATATTATTAATAATATTATTAAAATTTTTAAGTTTTGTATTTGAATATATTTTAAAATGTAGTTTATTCCTGTGATCAAAGCTGTATTTTCAGCATCATTACTGCAGTCTTCAGTGTCACATGATCTTTCAGAAATCATTCTAATATGCTGATTTGCTGATCAAGAAACATTTCTGATTATTATCAATGTTCAAAACAGTTGTATTAATTTATTTTCTTTTTCATTTTCTTTTTTTTTAAATCTTACCCCAAACTTTGGAATGGTATCATCTTTGACATTGTGGGAATAATTTTATTTACATATATTCAAAAAGAAAACCGTTATTTTAAATTGTAATAATATTTCATATTAAGGTTTTTACTGTATTTTGATCAATTAAATGCAGCCTTGGTGAGCATAAGATACTTCTTTCAAAAACATTAAAAAGAGAGAAAAATCTCTCTTTCACCAGCATGTGTAAATTACATATTTTATTTCTTAAGCAAACCGTAAGAACAAGCAGCAATTTGATTTACTGATGAATCTGTGTAACAACTTTGGTCACAGATCTGCTTCCTGCTAAAAATGGTGAGGAGTATACGATGCAGTTCCTGTTGGAGGTGGTGGACATCCTCACGAACTATGTGCGCAAGACCTTCGACAGATCCACAAAAGTGCTGGACTTCCATCATCCGCACCAGCTGCTGGAGGGAATGGAGGGCTTCAACTTAGAGCTGTGTGATCAGCCGGAGAGTCTGGAGCAGATCCTGGTGGACTGCAGGGACACGCTCAAATACGGCGTCCGCACGGGTGACCCTCACCCGCTCGTCCCATTTAATAAATGTTTCAAAATGTTATAGTAACACATGCTCTTAAAAATAAAGGGGCTTAAAAGATTCTTCACAGCGATGCCATAGAAGAACCATTTTTGGTTTCACAAAGAACCATTCAATCAAAGGTTCTCTTTCTTACCTTTTTGTAATCTGAAGAACCTTCTTTCGCCACAAAGAACCTTTTGTGAAACAGAAAGGTTCTTCAGATGTTAAAGGTTCTTTATGGAACCATTTAGAAACAAAAAGGTTGTTCTATGGCATCGTGAAGCACCTTTATTTTTAAGAGTGCATGCATATACAAATGGTGTTAGTGTCTCATTTTCTTTCCTTCTCTGTAGGTCACCCAAGGTTTTTTAACCAGCTGTCTTCAGGTCTAGACATCATTGGTTTAGCTGGAGAGTGGCTGACCTCTACTGCCAACACTAACATGTGAGTTCCCCCTTCCTTCATTCAGCTTTGTTGTGTTGAGCGAGTAAATCAATTTGACCAAAGAAGACAATTCAGCAATTTACTTTAACCTATTTATGAAGTTTTATGGTACTACAAGGCAGAACTTTTATATTCCTCAAAATTTCTACATAAACCCCTAATGTTAAGTATTAAACATCTACTATTAATTAAGTCCAAACTGCTTAATGTATAGCCTCAATTCTAGCCTTGTCAGATCATTTTAGCTTTACATCTGCTATCATTTATAATATAAAATAATAATAATAATAATAATAAAAGAGATTACAATATTAAAATCTCCCATTGACTTGCTGTTGCACATTCAATTTATAACCACAATGTAAAAAGTGGTGACCTGCAAGTATTACCTTAAGGAGCTATTTCTGCCTGATTTAACTGGTAACACACAGTTTTGCTGGTATAAACTGATGTACAGTCAAATCAGAATTCATTCAGACACCTTCAACATTTCTCGCATTATCACAGATTATTCGCTATAGTTTAGAAAATGGTGATACAATATGACAATAGCTCAGAGTTAAACTGTGTCAGAACAAATTCATCTTGATAATGTCAGATAACTTTGATAGAAAGGCATGTAATGAGTTCGGTTGAACAGCTGTCAGCTGTTAAATTTAAGTGCACAATTAATACCAATATAGGTCAACCAATTACCAAGCAATGCTTAATTTTGTTCAGTCTGTGGTGTAAAAAGGTCACATTAGCAATTAAAGAAAAAAAACACTTAAGCAAAACATGGGCAGGTCAAAGTGTCTGAATAATTTTTGGCTCCAAATTTTTATCAATTTTACTGGTAGTCCACTGTATAAAGAATCTTTGGGTATAATACGTCACAGTTCACTTTATGTTGCTATCCTCACTTACATAAATTAACTAGTGTCCTGCACCCACTAGTAAAAAAAAATTATAAAAAATTATATCTGGTGTCTGAATAATTTTTGGTTTGACTGTATGTAGGTTGGGTCAGTGATGTTAAATAATACCGTTGACTTGAATAACACCACTTATTTTATTCATTTTTTCATTGCAACAGCAATAACGTCATTTTTGCATAGTTAGTCTATTTGACCGTGAAGTCATTTTTAAATTTCAAAGACTCATGCACAGATGTCTTAAAACATAACTGTGCTGATGCAGCGTTTCATTTACACGGAATCAACTACACATACAATTTCAAAAGAAACAAAAACATAAAATATAAATGTAAACGAAGAATAAAACATATTAGCACTATTAAATTCGGGAAAAGCAAATGAAGTGTAATGCTGCTCTGTTGACTGAAGACTGGGATAAAATGACTGGCAGCTCCGAATAACACGCATTAGCTCTCATCAGAAAAGCTCCAGTGATATGTGACAGCCTGCGGAAGGACACGGCCAGCTCATTGGTCAAGACTAATTTACAGCTAAACACGAGCCACAGAGCCAGCTGAGACCCTGACATGATCCACACCTCCACCCCCATCTCCCCATCCATCCATTCATCTGTTCATCCTAAAGGCAGACTGCATCTAGTGTTCAAAAATGGCAAAAACAAAAGTGGTTTTATAAGATCAAAATATATCATTGTACGGCATTGCTTTGCAGTTGCTAAGGTGTTCTGGGTGTTTTAGTATGTTGCTATGCAGTTGCTAGGTTGCTGTGGTTGCTTACAGGCCCACTCAAAAAAAGTCTCTAAGATGTTCTGATCTCTAGATATTCCATTTACGTCCGAGTGAGTTCTTCATTTGATTGTATTGCAGGCGAAAATGTATTAGTTTGCTTATAATATTAATATCACACCTCTTAATAAAAGTTGAGGTGTCATACATGCATGTAGCACAAATGATGAGTGAGGGGCTAAACACAATTTTTTTATTATATTTAATGTTTGTTCAGATTCTGAATCATGAGAAACCGTAATAGTGATGCTTGTCTTAGTAAACACTGCTATGCTTCTATTGTCAGAACAGTATTTTTTTTTTAAATGTATTTTATTGTTTTTATTTAAAAAGACAAATTACTAAAAAAATCTGCATATGTGTTTTTTGTTGAGGATTATATTTGACACATTTGGCTTTTATGGTTAGTATGATATTGGAGAATATGGAGCTCATATTTGAGGAGGAAAAGCTGAACAAAACATATGCAATTTGCTGCAGTTGCTGATATTTATAAGGCCAAAAAGTAAACTGACAGCTTGTAATATAAATCAATGAGATCTTTATAACAGTATAACAGATTACTTACACAAAATGCATATAAATATCAGTTGTCACTCTATATCTCCCAATAATATGTCTTAGTAAGATGATATTTAAATGCTTAGTTTTATGATCAAAGCTCGGTATTTTTGAAGCACAAAATACAATGCAGTACAATGATGATTGAGAGTTCTTAAACTGATGTTTTTGATACTCACATTTCAACATGCTTTTTCTAAAAATGATGTCTGGATAATCAAGCAAACCTAAGTTGATTCAGTCCAGTAAATGTTATTGTTATTCTTGTTTGTTTGTTTTTTACATTATTACAATTATACAAAAATACATTTTACTTGCTAAAAGGAATGTTTTCCAGCAAAGTTTTGATCATGTGTGTGTCATGTATGATACAATAGTCTTTGTTAAAGGGATAGTTCACCCAAAAATGAAAATGTGATGTTTATCTGCTTACCCCCAGGGCATCCAAGATGTAGGTGACTTTGTTTCTTCAGTAGAACACAAACAAAGATTTTTAACTCTAACCGTTGCAGTCTGTCAGTCATATAATGCAAGTGGATGGGAATCACGGCTTTGAGAGTCAAAAAAACATACACAGACAAAGCCAAATTAAACCCTGCGGCTCTTGACGATGCATTGATGTGAAAAGACACGAAACGATCGGTCTGTGCAAGAAACTGAACAGTATTTATATCGTTTTTTACCTCTGATCCACCGCAATGTCCGAACTGTCCTGAGCGCGTCCTCGACAGCCGGCGCGTGACGCGTCCTCGACTGCCACCTATCTCTCAAATGGACCATTGACACTCTATCTACAATCTTAATTAGGAGTGTCAATGGTCCATTTGAGAGATAGTTGGCGGTAATGCACTTGTAAGTCTGCGATCTGCCGTAAAGAAAGAAGAAGAAGAAGACGCCTCACGTGCCGGCTCTCGAGGACGTGCTCAGGACCGTTCGGACATTGCAGTGCATCAGAGGTAAAAAAACGATATAAATACTGTTCAGTTTCTTGCACAGACCGATCGTTTTGTGTCTTTTCACATCAATGTATCGTTACGAGTCGCAGGGTTTAATTTGGTTTTGT